GGCTTAAGCATCTCCGGAGGAAACTGCGTGTGTATCCGTTGCTTTCAACTGACTTGCATAAGTGTTTTCCTTCTGCTCGGTTTCGCTTCTGTCGTATTGCAGTGAGTCTCTATTCTATGGAACAGTGTCTGCACACAGCTTATTTGTGACAGCTTGGGTGGTTGCGATTAACATTCAAAATCTGCTGAGGGCGCGTGAATTTTCTATAAACTGATGTTTACGGATCGCCGTCCATTATTCTGGCTAATAACATATCCAAGAGAAAAAATTTTTCTTTCTCTGATTCCATGGTTAACTGTATGCCGTCCATAGAGTCGTTAAGCAGTTGTTGTGCAACCGATAATCGACTACGTTTGCGTATCATAAAAGTATCCCCGAGTTGGCGAACCCAAAGTTTTGGATTAATCCTTGGTAGTAGATGCTATTCCAACCTTCGTATGACAACCTCTGCGATGAGTCCGGATACGGGCGATCCCATCTGTGCACCTTTCACATGTTTATACATTATTCTGTTGAACGTAAAGTAGGTTGAGAGACATAAATTCAGAAGTTCTCATACGCTTTGGGTCGCCATGTTCCCAATCTTCCCTCCGCTGTTAACCAGACGTTCGGCGATAACTTCTTTGGTCATCTCTAGGTTGACGGCAGTGAATAGGGCGGTTACTTCGCAGGAGACCAAGGTTTCATCGTGTTCTATTCGCAGGTCTTTGAACTTCGTCAAGATTGGTTAGGCATTGTTTATGGAATGTTGCAATATACTGATTAGGTGCTTGCGACACATCCATTGTTCCATTGCCAGATGGTAGGTGGGTGTGCCTGGAGGTGACCCAATTGGTCGTAAGGGTGCTCCATCCCAGTGTACGTTAAGTAGTCCATAGAATTGTGCCATGTCTGAGTGGCGAGTAATCAGTTATTCTCCTTCCTCTTCCGATATTTCGTTCGACTGCTTAAGTTTCGCAAACCCTCTGTTTGTTTTGTTGGTTAGTTGTGACGTTGGTTCCTTCTCAATGCATTGATAGGTTGTAGTATCGTTCAGAATCTGCTTCGTTTTCGCGGTGTAAGCTGCTTTTACCGTAATTACTGTCAACCGTCCTTTGTCAGCAGGTATGATAACGAATCAGTTGCCCCGTTTCAGAGTATTTATTGTTTCTTCCTCTTCTCTGGCTAGAGGGATGCATTGCATTAAATTCTTCATGGCTGGGACAACTGTTTTTCGGAGTTTTATCTGTGCTTCTTCGTCTAGTCCGTCGGACTGCAAGGCGCTTTCAAATTGTACCAGGAAATCCGTATTTCTAGCCTTAGTCGCATTAGCATCTTACGTGCCAACTCGATTGGTGGTGGCTTACAAATGAGGCCGTTTCTCTAGGGACCAGGCCTGGCCCCTGCACCTTCGTAACATGCAACATAGTGAAGGATGATCCACGCTAAATCGCAGTTACAAATCAGTCAGAGTGGCCCGCAACAGTCTCACATGCCCCAGTGAGATAAATCGCTGAATCGCAAGAGTAATATCGTGGTTACTAATCCTGCAGGATTCGGCAAGTGCGCGAAACTAGCCAGTCTCAATAAGGAGAAACGACCGGCTAGCGCATTCTTGGATGCGTTATTGGCCAGAACAATAGACAGCGAATTACAAACATCAGTTTACAGAAAAGGTATGCACACACAGATTTTGAATTTTAATAGCAACCACCCAAGCTGTCACAAATAAGCTGTGTGCAGACACTGTTCCATAGAATAGAGACTCACTGCAATACGACTGAAGCGAAACCGAGCAGAAGGAAAACACTTATGCAAGTCAGTTGAAAGCAACGGATACACACGCAGTTTCCTCCGGAGATGCTTAAGCCAAAAGCCTTCAAAAACCGAAGCTATGTCAACTCTGACGAAACGCATGGTGTTGCCGTACCTATGGAACGTATCGGAAATGATTGCCGGGTTGTTCAAACAACATCATATCATGGTATCCCACAAGCCAACGGCCACTCTGAGGAAAACATTGTCAAAACCAAACGGAATGCGAGAGACACTAGAACGGCGGACTGTCGTATATAGATTAAACATTGTAAACTGTGAAATGCACTATGTGGGACAAACAAGAAGGAAGCTGTCCACAAGGATATATGACCACTACAGTGCGTGCAAGAAACATTACGCAACCTCATTGGTTTCAGCGCACGTGGATGAAGCGGGACACAGCTTCGACTGGAACAACGTAGAGATCTCGACCGAAGGAGGAACACAAAAGGGAGGGAGTTTCTCGAAGCCTGGTTCTCAACCATGAATTCAATCAACATGGATATCCACATCGATCCAATATACCAATCGCTGAGACAGTGAGAGCTCAATTGGATTAACAACCGTTGTTCCAATGAACGTAATCCACCACACAGATAATGAACCGCACGATTCATGTTAGCCCAGACTGCTTACCCACACCCGTTGCACCAACCTGAGTGCAGTAATCCCAACCGCGTCGCAACACCATTTCCGCAGCTAATGACAATGACTCGAGCACGACCGCTGAACACAATGATTCACCAATGTGAACACGGCAAAATTAATGACCCTGTATGCCGATATAAGGAACGGAGTGGTTGCTGACCGTAGCCATTACTGGGTTCGCTTTCTACCAGCTACCCATGCCTAACTGCTATCCAGTCTACACTGAAGGTGCCATCTCGAATGGTGACGAAACGTTTGCATTTAACTTGCCTATCTCGGAGAACTCCACTATAACTGATCAATTTCTCCAGCTACGAATTTCCAAATTATTTCCCACACCACTTAACGTGACAAGTGAGCCACTAAGGATAGCAGCCATGGAATCAATTTACGGCGGAGGTGCTGGAAGCATTCCTCGCTGGGAACCGGTGCACGTTCCATGAGGCGATGATAATGCGCACTCTCTTGCGTATCCAGCAAGGAACGCTTCATGGTGCAGTGCAATGGTTTCTCCTCTATGTTCCAGAATGAAAGGGGAGTACAACTTCGCTGCAGGTCACGCATAACGTGCGCTGCCAGAAAACTGTGAGGGCCGAGGGAAAAGCATTGTCAAAATCTTTCACGTGCATCGCGCACTTGTCCATAACCAGCATTCGAGCATGGTTAACCCCGGGGCCGACTACATCATACTTCTCACCGCCCCTTGGTAGCTAGCCATCGTCTCATTGGACACCAAAGCATAAAAACATATACAATGCTGCCGAAGTCCAAAAACGTACAAATTTGCCAGATATAATAGCGGCAAGTTAGTTGTTATACGGTGTGCGCCAAATATTTCCACCCCTTATTGCCCCACCAATTCTGGCATGCGCGAAGGGACGAAAAATATGTACCGAATCTCATCTCCTTCAAGCATCATCTTAGTTGGCCATTGCTGCGCAAAAGCTGCGGCACCTCCTCTGCTTTTGTGACACCAACATTACGATGGTTGCCGTAGGTCATACGAGCACCGCCTCGTTAACCTAATGTCACATTGAAGGCTCACAAACGCACGCATCTCCTGCTGCCGACCAACAGTCTTCAACAAGTTCAATGCCATGCTTCCCTGTTCGCTTGTTACCTGACGGTATTTGAAATACAGCCAAGGTTGGTCACATGAAAATTATGCGAATGACGCAGACAAGCGTATCAAAACTCGTAGCATCCTCCCTTCAAAACCTTTGTTAACCGAGCACTGCAATTGTAACCCCGATACCTGTCAGAAATTTACCACGCGGATAAACAACATTTACTGCCTTCCAGCAACCTTCGATGGTTTGGTATACAGGCACATAAACTGAATATGTCGGTACCGGCAGCCTTCGGGAAGCACCTGCCCAGTTTCCCTTTTGTAATCTGCCGCAGTAACCACGCTAAGACGAACAAACAATGTCGCGGTTTCAATCTGAAAAATTGTTATATCCTCAAAGGTCGCTGTATAGTCCACCTGTGGCCCCTGATGATAAGTCGAGAAGTGCTGGAGTCCTCCACCACAGCTGCGGGAGCCAGAAGCTGGAAAATGATTGACCGCCGAAACGCATCGAAACCACTCCGTTTAATGAGTTTTAATCAATTTCTTTGCACGATAACAACGACATTCGCAACACAATATACCTACTAATTCATCGAAACGCCGTATATTTTCCATACCACCAATACATCTTTTGCATTAGGATCATCCTATCATTAAGTCATTGTTCGCTTTTAACGGGTTCGAAGCTCATGTTATGTGTTATCGCACTTACTTGTGATTGTATGCAAAATGGGTCAATTTTTTGTGTTTGATACGTCCAACAAACGTAAAAACAAACGCCGCACATATGACTAATTTTTAACATATTCTGGGCCTGGTGGGTACGGTGACGGCGTGAATTCAAAATGTTGGGTAGTATTTCAATAGACAGGGGTTGACCGGGCCCGTCAAAACGGAATTGGTGAGGGCATGGTAGTACAGCCTATCAGTGAAATGAAAGCATCTTTATACTTAATGCTTTAGAACGCAGAAATTATAGTTTACGCATCGAAACTGCAACGTTTATATATAAACACAATATTAAGGTTTTTCTATGTTTGTATGTATTATTAACTTTTGTATATATTTTTGTTTTGTATTAGTACTTTCTTATGCCAAATAAATGTACAATGTACACACAAAATAATGATATAAACAGATAAAATAAATAAAATACATATCTACCGGATACTTTGAGAAAAACGCTTATGTATATTATTTAACATGAAATCTACATACATAAAATCTTTCATATGCAATGGTTACGTAAATAAAATATATCTAATATATATTTGCTTTGAGTTGCTACGCCCGGTATGTAAAGCTTTCCAAATAATTTATGCCAGAAAGTCGAAGTACTTGCGGCTGAAGTCGAAAAGCTGCGGGCTCTTTTTCGCATACCGGTGCAAGAAACAAAACGCTGGTTAGGCAGAGACTTGTATCATCCTTGGAACCTGACATGGCCTGACCCACTTAGCTTATCCACAACCACATCTGACAACAGTAATTTTGTGTCCGATCCGCTCCGCACTCTCCTGTGTTGCTGGTGCGTTGGTGGTTTTTACACAGGTACTTTTCATGTACTATTGTTCCTGTTACGCATCGACATATTATGTTGTGTTAATGGCTTTTACAGTTAACCTATAATGTGATATTTGTCTTTTTGGTGTTATATATAATGACCTACTCAAGGAAGGAATAAGTAGTTTGATTGCCCGAATATAACCAAAACCTTGACTATTCATGCCCAATCGCCTCACTTATTACAAAACACTTTGGAAACTGGTTATTTAATGTTGGGTAAAAGGAATATAACCCTAATCCCCCGTGCAACTCCTACAGTCTATCCGACGTCGCTTGTATTCCTGTCTTTTTTACACCCACGGATGCAATGGTCCTCAGCTTGTGGAGAGAGAATATAAAATAGGTTATGATATTCTTGTGCGCCGCCAGTTTCTATTTTTCAAAGCTATTATTAAAACATTAGGAAATGTAAATCTAAATGCTAATCATACGTATAAAGCATATAAGTACAAAGACGTGCTTTCAGCGGGAAATTTGCGATCTGTATTATTGGAGAGAACAACCATTTTAACATTAATGTAAGCAGGGGTATAACGCGCAGATTTTTATACTTTTCTATGTGAAGTTATAATAACATTCTGCCTCGATATGTTAACGAATTTATGTTGAATCATATTTAATTATGTTTGTTGACTGGCGGGCAGATCAGTAGCGATCTGATACAACTTAGAACAACTGTTAAGACATAATTATAAATATGACCCGGATACAATAGCTGTCCTCACCACTATTATTCATAAACTTCCGCGGTATAAGACAAGGATACCCGCTGTCAACTTCGCCATCGACTAAGTCATGGAGCTCACCTTCACAGTATCCACTTAGGTGTAAAGCTGCTCCCAGGCGAACGACTACTTGACTTGGAATATGGTCTAATGTGTGGTAGCTCACGAAGGTGCCAAGCTACTTTGGACATGTTAGCGCTGGCTGTCAGCCGTTTCGGGTTTTGCTTCGCGCCCTCGAAATTTGACAGGGACCGCCTCCTGCTCTGACTGTTGGTGGGGATAAGCTAGAAATCGTTCAAAAATTTAACTACCTTGACTGTCGTACCAATGCTTGTGGAATCGAAGAGGTCAAAACAGTATAGGAAAACGTTGAGTCGCTCTTGTTATCCCTCGCTATCTATGGCGCCAGGGCGACATCACTCTCTACCTAAAGGGTTGAGTTTATGATACCGCCGTACGTTCGGTCTTACTGTCATGTTATGAAACCTACCTTGTTAGATAGGCAGACCTAAAGTGGCTACTTACATTCGACCACCGCTGCCTTCGCAGGTTGTCTCAAATGTGGTGAGTACCTCGGGTGAACAATGCGCGTGTTCGAAGTCTTGTTCGTAGTATAGAATGAGGAAATGAACCGCTCAGTACTGTTATTTCACGCACCAGGCTCCGATGGCTGGGCTATGTGTTGCGCATGCCAACCCACCGTCTCCTGCGGCACGCATTGTTTCCTCGCCGGGAGTGTGCATGGAAGAATAGAGGTGGCCACACAAGGACTTGGTCAAGAGGAATGAAAGCCTTTTCCTGTATATATGCTTGTTCACTGTTTTTTGACTTGGGTTGTCCGTATCGCTGGAACAATTTAGCAGCCCCTCGATATATTACGACCATTGTACGCAGCGGACATGGAAGGCATCGGAACCCTCGACCGGCTGCATCTCACACCCCGATCCACGCATGTGACCTGCACCTCTCTCGTTCTCACTGTTCAGGTCAGGTCAGGTCAGGTCAGGTCAGATGGACGATAGAGGCCTCCGCCTAACGAGCGTCCAGTTCTTGTGCCGGTAAGTGAAGCGACCCCCGGCACTTCGACGTTGGATTGTCTCTTCTTGCTTCTGCAATGGAATGAAGCAAGAACAAGAGCGATCTCTGCACTTTCATATGCCAGCGTCAAAATACACTACATATTAAAGTACAACTACAATATTTCTGGAAAAAGGATGGACCAACAATTGTCTAAGCCCCTTTTGAAGGCTTCTACTGTCTCAGACTCCACTAAATCAGAAGGGAGTTTATTCCAGTAGTTAACTACCCGGTTCGTAAAAAACTTTGCCCTGATGTCCAAACGAGCTCTGTGATGTTTAAGCCTCAGGCGATGCCCGCGCAGATGGTCTGACGTAGCCAGTTCAAACAGATGGGTGGAACTAATACCACTAAGTCCCTTAATGATCTTAAACGTCTCTATCAAATCCCCTCTCAACCTACGCCGTTCCAGGGAAAATAATCCTAAGCTACTTAGACGATCTTCATAAGACTTCCCTCGTTGACCTTCAATCATCCTGGTCGCAAGTTTCTGAATCTTTTCTATACAAGTGATGTCACTACGGAGGTACGGTGACCAGGCTTGAACGCAATACTCCAGATGTGGCCTGACCACTGCTTTATATAAGGGCAAGAATACTTCTGCTTTAGTGTTACTCAGCGCCCTCCTAAGACGAAATAATTCGTGTCGTGCTTTATTGGCAGCATGGCGACACTGTGCCGAAGGCTTAAAATTGTTCGCTACGATGACACCTAGATCACGGGCTTCGTCAGTGCACCGCAATGATAGAAATCCCACAGGAGACTGAACTGCAATTCCGCTACCACTACTAGTCAATAGTTGACATTTGTTGGCATTTAGAGGTAGGTCCCATTGACTTGACCAATTCACCACAGTGAGGATGTCCTTAGCCAATGTCGCACGGTTTCCCCTACTGACCAGCTTCAAGTCATCTGCGAAGATGTAGCAGGGGTCCTCAAGAAGAGGAGCCAGGTCATTTATAAACATAAGAAATAGCAATGGACCCAGAACCGAACCTTGAGGGACACCACTGTAGGCATGACCAACACTAGAACTCGCTTCCCCAACGCTGACTCTAAGTGTCCTTCCACGTAAGAATTCAGAGAGCCATAGTAGTAGTTGAGGATGTAATCCAAACCATGTCAGCTTCTCAATTAAAAATCGATGATTCACGGAGTCAAAGGCTTTACTGAAGTCTAAATAGCACACCTCTACCGATATCCCACCATCAAGACAACGGGTAATCTCGTCCAAAAAGCACAATAAATTGGTAAGACGCACAATAAATTGGTAAGACAAAAAAAATACCGAGTCGCTGAGTTTTATTATTAGTTGTGTACAACCGTTAGAAGCTTGTATTCTTTTAGTTCGACATATCTAAGCTATTTTGATTCCTACTACGACCATTCATCATCATCATCATCATACACGTTAGCTAGAGGTGGGAAACACCTCAGCTACTGTGCCGACCATTACACGTTACAAGACGCTACTCTGCAATACAACCAAGTGCTATAATTGGTAGTCATCATTTAATACGGACACACATTTTAGCTAGCAGAAAGCTGAGAAACTTCTCTTATAAGCTAACAACTAAGCGCCGTATACATTATTTCTAGACAACCTAACCATAAATATGCTCCAAAGTATCTGGGTTTCAGTGTATTGCTTGGTGGACAGCAAAAGCAGTTATATTATGATTCAGGCATAAGATTCATACATTTAACTTGTATAAACTGCTTCATAGTCTTTTAGTTTATGGAATAGCCAGGTTATGTATATTATCTTGTGGGCTTACGTGGTCCCTTCACATGAACGAAACATTCACCTAGGTTAGAAGACTCACACTATGTTACACGTCTCAGGTCTTCTTCCGTACCCCGATTTTTGATCCAGCGTTTTATCACTGCGTATGTGTTATCTTACTGGACCTATTGTTTTTCAGTTATCTTCCCTGGTCTCCTGAGTATTGATCATAAAGTAATTGCCAGATCAGTGAATTACCTGTCCCGGTTTAGTAAAATTTCAAGGATGGTAGTTGTCAACATCATTGTTACTAGACATTCAAATCCGATAAATCCGGATGCTTACCAACCTTTTCCTTGACTAGACATATCTACACAACTAAACGCGCTGGCACAAGGGCCTAGAGTACGTCTGTTGTTCCTTTCCTGTCACGCTTTTTGAACGATAAAAGTTCAGTAATTCAGGAACTGGCTAGTAAATTACTCCAACGATATTTGAGCTGCCAAATCTATTTTTCTGCGATCGTGCTCCTATATTTATCCGCATGTACTATCGCTTTTTATTATTTATCCCATTTGGTGGCGTGTGTTAGAGCTGAATATTTTAGAGGGTTGCCTATTCCGGGAGCCCAGAGAGCGATTCCAGAAGACAGATCGAGTTGCAGGGAAACTTTTATTGGTACAGTAAAAGATTCCCTGTTATCTAGCTATAAAAGAACGACACCGTGGACGCTCTAGCTAGGGGAACGGATCAAGCACAGCACACAGGGCAGTTGCGCGTTGCAACCGAAACGAGCGCCAAGCAAAAAATGGCGATGAGCAAGTCAAGCATTCGAACTCAGCAATCAGTTCAACAAGCCACACCGGTTGCCTAGGTGTACAATGAAATAATTTTAGTTAGAATTTTACACAGGCAAACCGGGGAATCTCCAGACTGCTACATAGCCCTCTCCCAGAAGGGACTGTGTAAGCAGTCCTTCGATCTACGTGAGGACTGTCCGTCGCGGGCCAGCCTTCTGCGAGACCAGGTTGTGAAACCCGATGCAGCTGCTGGGGGAGAACCATGCAATCGGACCCTAGCGGGCTCCCACCCGTGTCCTCCCTACGGTGTCGAAACGGTAAAAAAACTGTTTGTGGGGGGGACAGTTAGTAAAGTTCACGTATGCGGTTGAGCAGGAAGTTCGTTCTACTTCCAGTTGACGCGCGGGGATCCAGCGAAATGTGAAACCGAGGTGCGGCCAACCGACGGTGTATATGGAAAGCAAAATGAAAAAGCAGCATAAATGCATAGCCATACACAAAAGAGTGTAAAGCGAAAAACGTGCAAAGCTGTTTTTGGGTTTTCAAAAGGTTTTGCTCTTTTTTGGTAGTTTCAAAACGTTTTGATCTTTTTTTGTGGATTTTCAAAAACGTTTAGTAAGAGCAGAAAATTTCG